ACATCACACTTCACTGGGCGTGATCGTGTTTCAAATGTTTCACTTTGTGCGGATCTGGAATGTCAGAGTCCGCCATGTTTCACTTCAACAACAACGACAAAACATCTTTTTCATACGACGTGACGCACCATTAGACCATGATTAAACCAGAACCACACAGATCCAAACAGAACTAAACCGAGACTAAACTAGTACTAAACAAATACTCAACCTGGTATTAACCAACACCAACCATGTTTAAAAGAGGTCTACATCAGGTCACAAAAAGAGGCCTGAAAATACATATTAAGATTCCAAGTTTTATGTGGTTTAACAATCTTAAAACTTATAATTACATGTCACATTTCCAACCAGGAAATATAAAGTTTATTTTAAGGAAGCACTCTGTAAACAAGGACTGAAGCTCGTTCAATTCTGCAAGTTATTGTCTAAAAAATATGACTTTTATTTTCTGAATTCATGTTTGAAGTGAAAAACGTGTCTCTTGTTTGTAAATTGTCTCTGTTTTTAGATTTAATTTTGAGTATTGTGTATGTAGGACACAGGATAAACCATTGTTCCATTATTTTATATATTAAGCACAAGAAATACTCACTGCGTCAGCGTCGTCTCTGAACACGTCTGTTACTTTCACTTTCTACAGTCACGTGACGATCTGAACCACGCCTGTGTGACTGAGGTGCAGTGTCACTGAGCTCCAGCAGAGGGCGCCATGTTATTGTCTCTGAATAGATGCAGCAGGAAGACAGAAGGTGCTTCCCTCTGGTAAAAGTATCTGTGATGAAACTAACAAAAAACTAAATTAAAGAAAATTTAAATGAATTGAATTTAGGCCATAGAACTTGTCAAAGGCCAATCTCCTCAGATCTCCAAACCTAAGACCACAGACAGACCAGGTGCCACTGAGGGACCTGTGACAAAAACACTGTTATGTCCTTTGGCAAGACACTTCACTCACATTATCTAGTATGAATGTGGTGTGTGTGTGTGAAGTGTTGGTGTTGGTCGGAGGGACTGATGGTGCAGTTTGGCAGCTTCACTTCAGTCTGAGTGTGGAGTGAATGAAGAATACTCTTGTTGAATGTTCCACAATGCTCCACAGTAAAGCTCGTCTCCATGGGAACATCACCAGACTAACTATGTGTCTATGCCACTGGGGGCAGTAACATCTCTGTAGTGGAACAAAGGTGTAAAAATAAGTTTAAATTTAGTTGACAAAAAATTTACAAACAACAAATTAACAAAAGCTCAAATTAGGGAAATAATTGTTTACAAAAAGTCGAGGCCAAATGAGGAAACTTAACCAAACTGAACAGAACAAAACAAACCCACCAGAAAAAGAAACAGGAGAGTTTAAATAGTGGAGGACTGACTGAAACTGGACACAAGAGAGAGAATTTACACTAAAGGATCAACTAAAACTACAAACTTACAATAAAGCAAATCATTATTATAAACTAGGGAAACTAACAGAGCAAAAACTAAACTAAATAGTGCTCCCCCTCTTGGTTTGGAGAAGGTCTGTGCCAAAGGGCGGCGACTCAAACAAAAAAACAAGTGTAAGTAAATATTTCAGACTTATATGAACTAAAATGTGTGCACCCAAATTAGAAGAAAAAAAAAACGTCTATATAAAGAATTAAATCCAACAATTTTAACTATTTGTATTGTAACCGATTTAATGAAAATGTAAAATGTTAATGAAATGAAATAATACTAACACGGTGGAGCAGCGGCAGAAGTTTCCACCACCATCTCCACAAAGACAAGCCGTGGACTCTCCAAAAACGTACAATACATTAAATTCTCCATGTTTTACGAGCTATTTACGACTTTATCCCATCGTCGTATTAAAGGAACTGCACTTCACAGGCAGAAATATCAGTTTGAAAACATTAGTGATGAGATGGAGAGATGGAGGTCTCAGAAACTATGTTATTAGGTTCTTTTTTCAGACCTGGAGTGTTATTTCATACCTGACAGTTTGGACTGTTCACTAGCGTCTTCCTTGGAGTCACGTGATGTTGTTGTGACGTGTCTGGTCAGTTGATTTAAACAGGTTTTGGCGCCGTCTTCCTACCGGTGGAGGCAGGACGACAGCGCCACCTGCAGTCCCACTTCCTCAGGACTCCTCAAAAAGGAGTGGGAAGAAGAAAACTTATTTAATCCCGCCCCCACTCTTCATAATCTAACACAATGAGCTTCTTTTGCGTTTTTCTGACATTTTGAAGTAAACTATATGAACTATTTACAAGTGTAGACAAAGAGTCACTGTTATAGTTTGGTAGTAGAACGTAAGTGCACCAACAATGTTAAAGTTAAGGAAACAGGCAATGTTAAGAAACAACAAATACAAGTCATGTAATGGACGAAACAAACCAGCAATGGTAAGAAAACAACAAACATAAACCAGCGCTACAGAAGCAGTTTTGTTGTAATATTATGACCCACTCTCCATAAACTGTGACCAATCCATACGTTTATATAACAACTTGAATTTATGGATATTTTGTCGTTGCTTGAGACGTGTATCCAGTCTGTTCCAGAGTTTTACACCACATACACACACACAGAAACTTTTACAAGTAGTTCGTACGTTAGCCAATTTGAAATGTCCATACCCTCTAAAATTATAAGTTCTCTCTCTCATTTTGAACAAGCTTTGAATATGACGTGGTAGTAGATTATTGCGAGCTCTGAATAAAATGACCAGTGTATAATATTGTACAAGTTCAGGAATTTTGAGAAGCTCAGATTGAATAAAAAGATGATGTGTGTGTTCTAAAAAAAAAAAAAACTTTATGGATGATTCACAAAGCTCGTTTCTGTGATATAATCAAAGTGGACATTGGTAAGTGTTCCCCCACACTTCAACACAGTCTGTGAAACAAGGAAGAACCAATGAACAGTAGAATGTGCGAAGGGCATTTTGATCAAGGTCATATTTCACTTTGTTTACTATAGCAACTTCACCTTCAGACTGCAGCAGCTCTTCCACCGGCAGCTGGGAATCTCGGCGATCAAGACCACTCCATACCATCCCCAGACGGGCGGCTTGGTCGAGCGGTTCAACCAGACCCTAAAGAGGATGCCGCAGAAGTTCGTGGCAGATACCGGACGAGACTGGGACCTGTGGCTGCCCTTCCTGCCGAGAGGTTCCTCAGGCGTCCACTGGTTTCTCCCCGTTCGAGTTACTGTATGGCTGAGACGTCCAGGGACCGTTGGGCCTGACTGCGTGGGTGCTGGTTTACTGTAAGTGCTGTAAATATTATAGTAAATACTTCTCTTTTTTTGACTCTACTTCATCATTTCCGTTGTAAATACTGCACTCTGCACATTGGGCTGTGGTGTGAATAAAAACGCACTGAAGTGAAGGTTTTTTTTGATTGAGCCAATGTTTTTTTTACATTTATCTTGGACAAACCCGTGACATTTGGTGGCAGTGGCAGGACCGTTCATGTGTCCCGCGGTCAGTGTTGGGAAGTTTACTTTTAAAATGTAATCCCCTACAGATTACAGATTACACACACCAAAATGTAGTTTGTAACGTAATCCATTAAATTACTTAAAGTGAGTAATGTAATCTGAATACTTTGGATTACTTGATTTGCTGTAGAGAAACAAAGACGAGGAAATCTTCACATAAGAAGTTTTGTCTGATAAAAGAAAATAAAAAGTCCAGACTTTACTGAACCAAATTAAAAATATTATTGATAGAAAACGAAGAAACACGTCCACACAGCAGGATTTAGTCCTGTTAAATCCTGTTTGAGACATAATTTAGACTTAGTTTAGACCTGGTTTAGACCTGGTTTGGACCTGGTTTAGTGTCTGGCAATGCATGGAATTACCGAAAAGAAAAAAAAAAAAAAAAAGAAAAAAAAAAGAGATAAAGCCCAAAATGTGAAAACAGGAAAACACCGCCGTGTAATCCATTTATTTCAACAAAGTAACTGGTAATCCAATTACCACTCATTGAAACAGTAACTGTAACTGAATACTCATCATTTGTACTCTGTTTACATAACTCTGGTACATGTAATCTGTTACTCCACTACACTGCCCACGGTCCAGTACCTCCACAGACTGTTTCCCTGCTACCTGGACTTTGTTTCCCCGCTAGTGCGTTCGAGGTGCACACTCGACGCCTACGCCCTCACACTCTTTGCCTGCAGCAGTGTCCACGCCGTTCTCTGGTTCAAAGGCCAAACCGAGGCACTTCCTGCTCGTGCTCTAAATAGAGCTCAGTGGCGCTACAGGAGGTCACAGGATCTCCGACTCGACCATTGTGTCAATTTGTGTTTTTATTAAATTGAATTGAGCATAACCAGATGAGGGGTTATTAAGTAATTGTTATTATGTTTATTTCCAAGTTGATTTATCAGTAGTTTTGCTTTTGGATCCGGTCAAGCAGTAACGGAGGGAAACAGGGTCAGATTTTTGACATTCAAATGTCTCTTATTCAGAAACTAGAGGAACTATTGAAATAAGTAAAGTATC